CCTGGGGACCCCCATCCAGGGGAGGAGGGGGGGGCAGCGGGGGGTCTCCTCTGGGGACCCCCATCCAGGAGAGGAGAGGGGGGCAGCGGTGGGTCTCCCTGGGGATCCCCGCCCAGGGGAGTGGAGGGGGGCAGCGGTGGGTCTCCCTGGGGACCCCCATCCAGGGGAGGAGAGGGGGCAGCGGGGGGTCTCCTCTGGGGACCCCTGTCCAGGGGAGGGGAGGGAGGCAGTGGGTCACTTCAGACACCCCAGAATGAGGTGTGGTTGACCCCGAGATGTACAGCTTGCTCCTGGGGAGGGGGCCCTTGGTGGGGGAGCCCCAGCTTCAGGGCGTACCCACCCCCGTAACCTGGACCCTGGCCCGGCTTGCCCACAGGGTCCGGACATTCCCGCGGGGCTCCGGCCTGGGCCGCGACACGGTGCGAGCGCTCATGCACTACGCTCTCAAGGTGTGGGGCGACATCACCCCACTGAACTTCCACGAGGTGGCGGGCAGCACGGCCGATATCCAGATCGACTTCTCCACGGCCGACCACAATGACGGCTACCCCTTCGACGGCCCTGGCGGCACCGTGGCCCACGCCTTCTTCCCTGGCGACCACCACACCGCCGGTGACACTCACTTCGACGACGACGAGGAGTGGACCTTCCGCTCTTCAGGTACGACCGGGGTCCTGCCAGCCACACTAGCCCGCGAGGCCAGGAAACCCCTGGCACAGCCCAACCCGAGCCCTGCACAGCTGCCTCGGGCGCCGAGCGGGTTCCCCAACACCAGGCAGCTCCCACTGCCTCCCAGGCCCGTGGGGCGGGGCAGGGCGGCCAGGCCTGCCGCACGGTCTCGGCATCCGAGAGGGTGGAAGGGCCGGGCTTCCACGTCCAGCCAGCTTTGCTCCCGAGGAGCCAGCTGTCCACGGGTCAAGCCCAGCTCCAGCCCTGGTGACCACAGAGCCCGGGGCCCGTCACAGAGCCGGGCGCCCGTCGCAGCCCGGGGGACCACAGAGCCCGGGGCCCGTCACAGCCCGGGGAACCACAGAGCCCGGGGCCCGTCACAGCTCGAGCGCTGTAGGTTCTGGCAATGACCAGAGCTTGGCATTGGTGCCTGGGGTCAGGCCAGAGCCCTCCGACTGCAGGGCCCCTGGGGGTCCTGGACCCAAGGCCGGCAGGGCTCATATGTTACTGTGCGGAAGGGACACTCACCCCTGGCCAAGGGCTGCAGGAGCGTCAGGGCGCCGTGGGGTCTTGCGAGCCCTGAGTGACCAGCAGAATCCCATGAGCAGTCCTGGAGCCCCCGTCAGAGCAGACAGCGGACGTCCCGCCGCCAGCGAGGTCCTGCGGTTTCTACCCAAGGCCCCCACTCTCATGGCCCTGTGTTCCAGATGCCCACGGGATGGACCTGTTTGCGGTGGCCGTCCACGAGTTCGGCCACGCCATTGGGCTGAGCCACGTGGCCGCAGCCCGCTCCATCATGCGCCCGTACTACCAGGGCCCGGTGGGTGACCCCCTGCGCTACGGGCTGCCCTACGAGGACCGCGTGCGCATCTGGCAGCTGTACGGTGAGCACCGTGCCACGGCCACCTGGCTGCCGCCCCCTGCTGCCCAACTGCCACCCCATGCCGCCTGACCGCCGCCCCATGGCTGCCCGATCACCATCCCACAGCCGCCCCATGGCCATCCCATGGCCCCTGACTGCCACCTCACGGCCGCCCACAGTCACCCCACGGCCTCCTGACCACCGCCCCATGGCCACCCCGTGGTCACTCAGCCACTACCCTGCAGCCACCCGACTCCCACCCCATGGCCACCCCATGCCCAGCAGGGCCTAGGAGGAGCGTCTACTGCACCTTGACCCCGGGAGCTCCAGCCTCTTCTCAGAGCCCATCCCCAAGCTCCTCAGAGCCCCCCGCCAAGTTCAGGAGCCCCTGGCGGGTCTTGGAGGGCAATCCTGGAGTTGAACATGTCCTCTTTCCCACAGGTGTGCGAGAGTCTGTGTCCCCCACGGCTCAGCCGGACGCCCCTGAGCCCGAAGAACCTCCCTTCCTGCCGGACCCCCCCAACAATCGGTCCAGCGCCCCGTAAGCCACGGCCCCTTGTTGGCACACGGTGCCTGCCCTGCCTGCCCAGCCCATCGGTGGCCACGTCCGGGGACAGCACAGTGGCAGGCTGGCCCTGCCGTCCTGTGCTGCGTGAGCTCTGCGGCAGTCGCTCGCCTGCCCGCCGGGGAGCCCTGGGGGTCCGGCGTCGGTTCCTCTCCTCTG